CTATCAACAACATCTCCAGCTGATTGTGATGCCCAACAAAAGTGGGTCAACGACCGTCAACATTTTCTAATCGGGAGAAGCGCAACAAAGATCAACATCATAGACGCAGGAGCGGGCTGAATTAAAGGAAGAGTGAACCACCAAACCAACGACTACGTGGGAGCCGCCAGAGCGCAGCAACAACACCACCAACGTATCACTCATCACCAGAGCTCAGCACCAACACCATCAATGTCCGACTCAGTACCAGTAGTGGAATTCACTAACTTTTAACGACGCCAATTTACGAGTTGTTAGTTAAATATTTGTGTTGTTTACAGTAACAATTGTTCGATTCACTAATTTATCTTTAACGACACTAAACAGCTGACTTTCGCTATTTATGTAAATAAATAAAAAGTGGCACCCCTGTTATCCGAAATCTGCGAAAAGCACAAAAGAAAATTGGAAAAAAATTAAAGAAATTTATAGTTTGTTCTTGAAAAGGTAAGTATTGTAATGAATTCAGGCAAAAATAATCGTGCTTTATAATTTAATTACTTTTCTTTTTATATTTTAGGATGGCCTCAACTAGCCAAGCAGCCACTACACGGAACCGCGCTTCAACGGAGCAGTTGAGTGCAATGATAGACTTATTCCAAGAAACTCCGGGGCTGGACGGAGGTAAGTTTCATCGGCTGCATGGCAAGCTGGAACACGAAAATAAATGGGAGGAGATGGCTTCCAAGCTAAATGCCATCGGAGGAGCTGAAAAGTCCGTCGACCAATGGCGTACGGTAAGTTATAAGCCCACTAAGAAAAGACCGGTGCTGTGCGGGAAAACTGTGATTTGTGAAAACATAATAACTTTTGTTAAGTTTTGTTGTTAACTTAAAAATATCGTTTTTATTGCAAACATATATGTATATATGTACATACAAGTGGTGCATAACTGTGGAGTCGATCCCATGCATTGCTACTGCGCACAGTCTCGTTCTTTGTGTGTACGGACATACATATATATTTATGCACATACATTCTATGGAATATTCTATCTGTTTATTTCTAATAATCCTTTTTTTGCATTCTTTCATATGTAGGTCTGGCGCGATTTGAAAAGTAGGACTAATGTTCGAGTGCGAGACCGGAAAAGGCAGCAGGCGTCAACCGGAAACCGGCCCGTGAAACAGCCTCCTTTAACGGAGCTGGAGGAGCGCGTGGTGGCCATTATTGGAAGCCACTAAATTGAGGGCCACGAGTCGGTAGCAGAAAATGTACCATTTGACTTGGTCAGTTTTAACTGGATTATTTGTGACCCATTGTTAACCACTTTTTTGTTATTAGGAGCTTCAATTGGCCCTGGAAGACGGTGAGGAGATAGTCTTTCTGCGTGAAGCGGTGGAGTCCGAAGACCAGGTAAAAACTGAAGTGCGGCCGGAGACTCCAAAAACGCCTACAATGAGAACTCCACGCAGGGGATTGAAGAGGAAAAGAGAAGAGGAGCAGAGCGGAACCGAAAAGAAGTTTTTGGAAGTTACACAAACTCAAGCTGCTGCAATGAAGGTAAATAATTTGTTATTAGGAGATTTTCCAATTTTTAATAGTTTTTTTTAAATACGTAGATGCTGGCGGAAAGCTTTTCCAGACTGGTGGAGGCACCATTCCAGCTGGCGGGGGAACTCCGGGTATATGGAGAAGGAAAGCCTGCGCCGATGCTATAAATAATTTGGCAAGGGCACTCGGTCCCCAATAATTTTTTTAAATCTACTTAAAAGATGGTATTTCCTGATACAGATATTCCATCATTACTGGATTTGGAAATACCATCTTTTGATTGGGTTTTAGGTTAAAAATTAGGTTAAGAAAATGAATTTGTCCCATTTATTTAATTTGCTATAGTATATAATACATAGTTTGTTATATTTTATACTCTGGTTGCCCGAAAATTAGAAACGCGACTTCTTTTCAAGTTCTGACAATTTTTTTTTTCTTAATTAGTTTTAATTTATTTAAAAGAAAAACTTGGTCATATTATAACGAAATCCATATAAAACAAAGTAGTAATCCTTGTACAGTATTTATGAAAATTTAAATTTACCGAATTTTTATAAATCCTGTACAAGGTTTATAACTGTGTTTTATATGGATTTCGTTATAATATGACCACTTACTTTACTTTTTAAGTAAATTTTTTTAAATCAATACGGCATATTCATAGTCGAAATAAAATTGACGCTAAGTTAGTAGCAGTTTTTTGACATACAGCTATAGTCAAAGATGTAGCACCAGAAATCAAAATGATATTTTGTTTCTTTATTTTTAATAATACTCATTTAAAATATAATTCAATCTATAAAAGAAACCACATAAATAAAAGTTTCAAAAATTGCACAAATTACAAAAAAATTAATAGAACATGAAAAAGTTTTAATCAGAATTAAAAATTTTTGTAAAAACTCTGATTGAAAAGTTTGAAATTTTGATGAAACTTTTTGAAGTGATTAATTTTTGTGTAATTTGTGAATTTTTGAAACTTTTATTTACACTGCTGGAAAAAAGTATTGGCACAGACAATTTTGCACAATATTTGCAAACAATTTTATTCTAATATTTTTCCGCTAATTTTTTATAAAACTTTGGTTCATTCTGCAACAAAAAGAAAACGTGAAAATATAATTTCTAGCCTTTGCGGACAACTAGATTTTTTTGATTTTTTTTTTAGTATGCACATTTGTAGTCCTTTAAATTTTATTATAATAAATTGAAGTAGGTAGGACTTATCGCTGATGCCACTACTAACTTTGCTTCAATTTTATTTCGACTACGACTATGCATCACTGCCGGCCCGGCCCCTATTGCAATTGTCAACTATGTATAAATATTCTCAATACCATTATCAATCAAATTGAATTGATAATTTATTTTTAAACCCAAGACTGTATAGATTACTTTTTAGTATTTATTTTATTTTTCTCTTCAATTTTAACTGAATATTTTTAAATTCAATATTTTTATTTCCCACTTTATTTAAAATATTCTCCTTAATTTTAGTTATTTATTAATAAAGTACCTGAAGGATCTTTTAATTTTTAAATTGCTGAAGTCTGTAGTAGTAATAGTTCTAAAATAGTCTATGGATGTACCCTTGCGGTCTGCTGATTAAGTCAAGTGACATTTTGACTAGTTTTGGCTATTTTTCTTTTGTTTATTTAATGTTTATATTTTTTTTATAAAAGTTTAACACTTTACCTAGCCAGCACCACAGAAATCCACTTTTCAAATTTCGTACAAAGATTATGAAAATTCGACAAACTTTAACATTTGTATCCAAAAATTCTAAACTTTTCATTTAGAATTTTTAGAAAATTTTTGGGGATGCAGTTTTGTTGCTCATTAAATTTTAGGGGTTAAAGAGCAAACTTCAACACGTTGCGTCAACAAAATTGCGTTGATTTTTAATAATTTTTTTAGCTTACGGTATTAAGCATTTTCTCGCATGCTCGACGATTTCGTTTGTATGGGAGAAAATGCGTAACACCATCAGCAAAAAAAATTATAAAAATCCACGCGATTTTCTAGCGTCTTGAAATTTGTACTTCCTATTGAAATTTAATGAGCTACAAAACTGCATCCCCAAAAATTTTCTAAAAATTCTAAATAAAAAGTTTAGAATTTTTGGATGCAAATGTTAAAGTTTGTTGAATTTTCATAATTTTTGTACGAAATTTGAAGTGTGGATTTATGTGGTGCTGGCTAAAAAGTGTTAAACTTTTATAAAAAAATATAAACATTAAATAAACAAAAGAAAAATAGCCAAAACTAGTCAAAATGTCACTTTACTTAATCAGCTGACCACAAGGGTACAAAAAAAAATATTTAGGGAGTACTCACAGCGCTCAAAGTTTTCCATGTATTTTGTATGGGGAAAAAAACTAATTTACGTAAAAATGGTATAAAACTCTTGAAAATCAATATTTTTCAATCGTAAAACTATGGTTCTCTTCAGGAGACTTAAATTATTAATATCCAATTGTTTATTTAAACAGTTTTTATGATTAAAGATTTTTTATTGATCCCCCCATTGCATTCTCTAGGACCTATAAGATATAGTAACCATGAAAAATTTGTTAAAGGAGCAATTGGGTATTATTACCGGGAATCTCCTGAAGATAAACAAAGTTTTCCCATCGAAAAATATTGATTTTCCCGAATTCTACACTATTTCTACGAAACGTTATTTTTCCCCCATATAAAATACATTGAAAACTTTGAGCGCTTTGAGCACTCCCTAATTTTTTTTTTTTTTTTTCAAAATAAAAAATAGGGCTATTTTTTTTTTGGTATAGAACAATCCTAGGGGTTGGCGGTATTAAAAATGCGACCTTATTTTTTTACATACATTTTTGGACCACTTTAGGGTACATCCATAGACTATTTTACATATTACAGACATAATAACTGATTATCAAATGGCAGAGGTCAACACTTTTTTCTTAAGTTGGCAATATAAAATGAAGAGGATAAGAGCGGGTGATATTTACATTTTTAATAAATGGTATACCTACTGAAAAATATTTGATTGTAAACTTTAATTTTTAAAAATTCTTTAGGAATATAATTAAAAAATTTCTTTGGAAAGTTTTAAGAAAAAAAGTTTGCTATTAATCTTTCTTGTATGCGTTTTGCAGTGGAAGATGATGGATTTAGGCTACCGAAAATTCTGTCTGAATCCTCAATGTCTGTTGAAAAATTATCAATTGGATCGTTCACTCAACCGAAGGTTGTGAAGAGCTGCACACGCGTTGGCGACTTTACCAGCGACAGCGGGGTCATATAATAGAACCCTTTGTTGCGATAAGCATCGCCAAGTTCCTTTGAGGACGCCAAAAAGTCGCTCAATAGGGCTTCGTGCCTTTCAGAGCGCTTCATTGTAGCAAAATTTTGGAGACCCTTCTGGCTGGTTGGGTAAAGGCGTCATGAGCCATGGCTCTAAGGGATATCCAGAGTCACCTTAGAGAAACTTCTTTTATTACAACATTTTAAAACAAATTAACAAAAAGACTTACCAATTAAAAACATGTTGCGGTTTCCGTTTTCAAAGGCTCGCTGCATGACTTGTCGCACTGCAGAGGAGCACAAAATATAGGAGTCATGTCGTGCTCCCGGATACTTTGCGTTTACGTTTAAAATCTTCAAATTTGGGTCGCATATCTATACCAAATATATGTCGCGGTGGTAATTATGTAATAATTTTCTTCACTAGGATTTGCTTACCATTTGTACATTCAATGGGTGGTAGCCATGGTGATTAACGTACGCCTCCTCATTGTTTTTCGGATAGCCCCAATGGTTCTCCCAACAAAAAGAGCAGGTACTGAGGAGAATGTTCCTTTAGCAGCTTGACGATCCATTTGCGTCATGAGAAACTTGACTTCCGTAAAAAACACGCGGTTGTTTATTACATCTGTCACTTTATGTATACATCGGCTTATTGACGACTGGCTCATTGAAATGCCCCACTGCTCTCCTACAGGGCGCTGGTAACATCCAGTGGCATAAAAACGTAAAAAAGCCAGAACCTTCCAAAGTACAAGATAAGTTATAATAAACTGCATTAAGCTTAAAATCTAGTGCCGGACCGGCTTTTCAGCTGATACTGCAGTTATTCTAGATCCTTTTAAATGTATTTCTAACCGTTGAACTAGATCGGCTGCCAAGCTTGGTAGCCTGTATAATTTCCGGAACTCCGTTGGAGCCAGTTCAAACGGGTTGTCCGCACTTCGCAACATACGCCGATTTACACTCGACACGTTTAACTGCTGCTCACGTTCCGATAAATTATAACCAACGTATTCAAACGGCATATTCTCAGTATATTTATTATTTATTTATGTGCTGGAGAACTTTTTATTTTCGCTAGCAACACCAAACTAGACGTCGTGTACTTAACAACAACAGCTGATTTTACGCTAGCGAGTGTTGTTACAAAACGTTTACTGAATCGATAAATCGATAAATTTGTCGTTTAGTTGACTTAACGATAACAAGTGTAGTTAAAATAACGTAGTGAATCCCACTACAGTCCCAGCAGCAACGGAACAGCAGAGCAGCCGCAGCACATATACGACGTAAAACGACGTAACTCTGAATTTAGTATATTTTTGTTTTTACCTAATCTTTAGTTTTCCCGGAGTATTTGAATTCAATTATGTTAGCATTAAATATTGTATTCGAAGTTTTAGAGTTAGCTTGAAAAGAAAACGATCATTTGTTAGAAGTTTTTTTAGTTTTTTTTCATTAATTTCTGTAAGCATTACTTACGCTCTTTTATTACATCTCGTTGTTAGCTTAGCTTAGTTTCCTCTTTAACCAAATTCAGGCCGAGTTTGCTTGAGTTTTACACAATCTCTTTTAGGGTTTTCATTTGTTTGTTTAACAGTGATTCTTTCGATTTTTTTTGCTTTTTTTATACATTTCGCTTTCCCATCGTCAATATCGGTAATATACACTTTTTGGGTCACTTTTTTTATATTCACCCTTTTGCCTATCAATAACATTTTTTTTTTGTAACTTTTTGAATTCTGTTTGGTCACAGTTGAGAACACCTGTTTAACATATTTGACATGTC